ATCAACATCCCCGTCACAGGCAAAAGACCCACGCAAGCAAGAGATGATGAACAGATCTTGCGTTTGTTTGAAAAGAGTTGTATTTTTTTTGTTTTCATTGTGTAAGAGTCTTATAAAAAGGCTATCTTTTTATTTCATTGTAACGATTGAAGTTGTAATGAATGCAGCAATGAATACAGCAACTTTTTCCGCAAACAACGTTTGGGAAGTCTAATAAAGTAAAGAAAATGTAAGATAATATATGTAAATTTATATAGAGGTGAACTTATGTCAAGTTAAGTGGACAATAGGTCTTTGTCCACCAAACTTTCTATCAAACTTGGTGTGTTGGGGTTTTAGAATATGTAGATCAAGTTCAACGGAACGGATCATTCACAATGTAGCTCAATCATGTGATTTTAGGCCGCGTCTTTAGATGATTATCTAAGACGTCACCTTAGGAACACTTTTCCCTATATATATATGTATGTATCTATATATATACATACATGTATATATATATATGTATGTATGTATACATACATACATACATACATACATATATATCTCTCTCTCTCTCTCTCTCTCTATATATATATATATATATATATATATATATATATAAAGTCTTTTCATATCTTGCATGAATCCCTAGGTATCATCAATGAATAGAAAGTTTGGTGGATGGTCCACTTAAGTTGACATAAGAATTTCTCATTTATATAAATACCTTACATGTTGTTTCATCCATTTGGATCTCATCTTAATACGGGGGTAAAAGTGTCTTTGTATAGTATTCTCTTATTTGAAGAGTTACATTCCTCGGGCTTCCCCTCCATTACACCTCAATTTGGGGGAACAGAATTTTGAAGTGTTTTCCCCTCCGTTACCTTAACTTTCCCCTCATTAACAACCTCACATGACACTTTCCCCTCGCAAACTACCTTCATGACTTCCCTAACAAAGGATAATGTGTCCCTTATCTTCCCTTAACTCACATTACCCCGCTATCCAAACAAACAAACACAGCAGATGGGTGAATCCAAACTAAAACCGAGGGAATTCCGAG